ATTTTTTGTTCTGTTATTTAAATTTGAGAAATGCTGAGTGTGTTTTTTCCTTTGGTTTTCTAACACCAGCTCTTTGCACATTTCATTATAATACTTGACTTTGTCTTCTTGAACTGTCCTTTGAAATTTTCTTTACAGCTCTTTTGCATACATACTTCTTTCATTTGCTTCAGCATCTCCACACTAGAAAGCAAATTTCAGCATCTCTTCAGATATCCATTTTGGTGTTTTCTTTCTTTCTTGTCTTTTTAATGACCTTTTGTATTCATCCTGTATGATGTTCTTGATGTCATCTGTGATAATTAATGTTTTATGTCAACTTGACTGGGTCAGGATTCCCAGTGGTGTGGCAGGTGAGATGCAGCTATTCCCTTGGTAAGGTCTAATGCAGGCGTAATGAATTTTTTGACGATTTGCTATGAGCAGCTAATCAACAGAAAGGATGTTTCTTTGGGGGTGTGGCCTGCTTCCAATGTAATGGACATCCAGAAAATGCATGCTCCTTTTTCCACTGGGGACTTGGGATTCATGTCTAGCTGTGTGCCTACTGGGTCCACCTGCCAATCTTGGCTCAGCTTACCAGACTTAGGACTCTACAACTGTGAACCATTTCCTTGACATAAATTTCTTGTTATACATATACATGTATGAGTTTCGCTAGTTTTGCTTCTGAGAAACCAGCCTAAGAAATCATCTCACAAATCCTGTTTATTAGTGTGTAATTCATTAAATTTGCTCTTGAGATGATCTCTAAATTCAGGTGGAATACTTTCAAGGTCAAATTTTGGCTCTCACAGACTTGTTTTAATTTTCTTCAGCTTCAGCCTGAACTTGCATATGAGCAATTGATGGTTTATTTCAAAGTCTGCCCCTGGCCTGATTTTGGCTGATGATATGAGCGTTCACATTGTCTCTTTTCAGAGATATAGTCAATTTGATTTCTGCATATTCCATCTGGTGAGGTCCATGTGTTTAGTTGTCTTTGATGTTGTTTACAAACGGTATTTGCAATGTAGAAGTCATGGTCTTACAAAATTCTATCATGCAATCTCCAGCATAATTTCTATCACCAAGGCCATATTTTCCAACTACTGATTCTTTCTTTTTGTTTCCAATCTTTGCATTCCAATTGCCAGTGATTATCATTACATCTTGATTGCATGTTTGATCAATTTCAGACTGAAGAAGTTGGTAGAATTCTTCAATTTCACCATCACTGGCTTTAGTGGTTGTGCATAAATTTGAATAATTAGTGGTATTAACAGGTCTTCCTTAAAAGCGTGTGGATGTTATCCTATCACAGATAGCATTATACTTTCAGCTAGGTCTTGAAATGTTCTTTTTGATGATGAATGCGATATTATTCCCAGCATAGTAGACCGTATGATTATCAGATTAAAAATGGCCAACACCAGTCCATTTCAGCTGGCTAATGCTTAGAATATGGATCTCTATTCATTCCATTTCATTTTTGACAATTTCCAATTTTCTTAGATTTATATGTCATATATTCCATGCTCCAATTATTAATGAATGTTTACAGCTGCTTCTTTTCATTTTGAGTTATGCCCCAAATGAAGGTCCTGAAAGTTTTACTCCATTAGTGTCATCACAGTCAACTCTACTTTGAGGAGGCAGCTCTTCCCCAGTCATATTTTGAGTGCCTTCCAACACGAGTGGCTCATCTTCCAGCACTATATCTGACAATATTCTAGGGCTCTTCATCATGTTTCAATACTCAGTATTCTGGTGCTGACAGTATTCATTGCTATTCATAAGGTTTTCAGTGGCTAAACTTTCAGAAGTCATCTGCCTCTCCTTCTTTCTAGTCTGTCTTGGTCAGGAAACTCAGCAGAAACCTGTCCACCATGTGTGTATCCTGCTGGTATTTATAATACAAGTGGTAATACCTCCAGCATCCCAGCAACACACAAGCCACCACAGTACCACAAACCAACAGGTGAATGGTGGCTGCATCTACTTGTTGTTGTTGTTGTTGTTAAGTGCTGTCGAGTCGGTTCTGACCCATAGTGACCCTGAACAGCGTTTCCGAGGCTGTAAATCTTTACAGGAGCAGAAAGCCTTATCTTTCTCCTGCATAGCAGCTGGTAGTTTTGAACTGCTGACCTTGAGGTTCGCAGCCCAATTCATAACCACTACGCTACCAGAGCTCCTTGTAGATCACTATTATTGCAAGATTGTGTATATAATAGTATTTACCTTTAACTCTTATACTCCTCCAAGTGTCTTCCCCAACCTCAATCAGCACAGCCTTAGATATGGATTACATCTCAATGTTAAGAAAACAAAAATCCTTACCACTGGACCAATAAACAACATTCTTATCAATGGAGAAAAGATTGAAGTTGTCAAGGACTTCATTCTTCTTGGATCAACTATCAACACTCGCGGAAGCAGCAGTCAAGAGATCAGACAACGTATTGCATTGGGCAAATCTGTTGCACAGGAACTTTTTAAAGTGTTGAAGAGCAGAGATGTCAGCTTGAGGACTAAGGTGTGCCTGACCCAGGCCATGGTGTTTTCAATAACCTCATATGGATGCGAAAGCTGGACAGTGAATAAGGAAGATCGTAGAAGAATTGATGCCTTTGAATTGTGGTGTTGGAGGAGAATACTGAAAGTGCCATGGACTGCCAAAAGAACCAATAGATCTGTTTTGGAAGAAGTGCAGCCAGAGTGCTCCTTGGAGGCCAGGATGGCTAAGCTTTGTCTCTCATACTTTGGACATATTGTCCAGAGGAAACAGTCTCTGGAGAAGGATGTCATGCTGGGTAAGGTGGAGGGTCAGAGAAAAAGAGGAAGACCCCTAACGAGATGGATTGGCCAGGTGGCATCATTGATGGACTCAAGTGTGGCAGCGGTAGTGAGGTTGGCCCAGGATCGGACATTGTTTCGTTCTGCTGTGCATGGGGTTGCTTTGAGTCAGTTCCGACTCGATGGCACTTGACAACAACAACAACAACAAACCTTTTACTTCATGTTGGCTTTCCCTCAACCCAAGTTAACATGTGTCTATCCTCTACTCAGTAACTTGCCCTCCCTTACCCTCCCAGTCCTTGTAACCATCAAAGATTTTTTTTTAGTGTGAAAAACTTCTCTTGTCTTTTCACAATAGTGGTCTTATACAATATTTGTCCTGTTGTGATTGACTAATTTCACTCAGCATAATGTCTTTCAGATTCATTCTTGTGAGATGTTTCATAGATTCATTGTTATTCTTTGATATCTGTGTGTATGTACTATAAGTCTGTTTATCCATTCGTCCATTGATGGGTATTTAGGTTGTTTCTATCTTTTTGATATTGTAAATAGTACTGTGATGAACATGGATGTTCATATATCTATTTGTGTGTCTGGGGTCTTATTTTTCTAGGATGCATACCCAAGTAGAGTATCATATGGTATTTGTTGCCAACTTTTGAGGACGCACCATACAGTTCCCATAGTGGGTTCACATTTTATAGTGTATGAAGGTTCCAGTCTTTCCACACCATCTCCAGCATTTGTTGTTTTCTTGTTTTTTGTTTTGACTTTGCTATAGATGATGGGATGAGATGATGATTTGTTGTTTTGATTTGCATCTCTCTACTGACTAATGATCATAAGCAGTTCTTCATATATTTTTCTTCTTTGGCTGAATGTCTCCTTTGATGAAGTGTCTGTTCATGTCCTCTGCCCATTTTTTAATTGGATTATTTGTCTTTTTGTTGTTGAGGTGTTGACGTTTTCTATACGTTTTAGAGCTTAGGCCGTGGTATGATATGTCTTTGTGAGGCAGGGAATTGATAGAGATGGGGAGATAAAGTTTATTTTTATTATATATAGATGAATATTAATGTTCTTCCACTGTGAAAATATGAAAGTACTTTGGAGTAATTACAAGAGCGGCTCTCCCTTTTCTATTACACTGAATGCCATTTGGGAAACATGCAGAGTAGGGGCATGGGTTGTGGAAGTAGAGGTGAAGTCTAGCTAGATACAGTGGGGCCTAGTTGTGGGCAGGAGGAGCGCTCCAGTCTACAGCAGGCCAGAAGACACATAGAACACAAACTAGAGAAGAATGCTCCAGAACGAAGTTCCTCAAGTATTCTCTCCCTTCTCACAGAATCTTTGCCCACAAACATCTCCCAAATTTATTTCGCTTTCAAAAGTACCACAAAATCCAAACCCACTGCCATCAACTCGATTCCAACTCATAGACATCCTACAGGACAGAGTAGAACTGCTCTGTCAGCCTCTTCTTTGAGGGAGTGGCTGGTGGGTTTGAACTGCAGACCTTGGGGTTAGCAACTCAATGCTTAACTCATTCTGTTACCAGAATTTCTTTTGAAAAGTGTACAGAGTACAAATTATTCCACAAACACATGGGAAAACTCCATCACTGAATGGGAGTTATGAACTCAGCTTTTGACTTGAGCTTTCAGACTCTCTTTGTGTGGACAGTAGCTTGCCTTTCTTGTTCTTGATTTTTCTGTGATTTGGGAAAAAATGGCAGAGCTTTGATATACAGATAGTGGGAGAATTATTTAGTTTTAAATATAAAGTGATAAGAGAAGCGATCCCTGTATCTATTATCTTAGCTAACATACAGCTTCAAAATCTCTTTCAGCTCCAGAAATACCCACTATTGACCAGGCGTATTCCAAGATCAGCAACAGTATCACTGTGGAATGGGCTACAGTGCCAGGTGCCACCAGTTACCTCCTCACAGCAGAAGCTGGGAACACAGTCATTGAAACCATGGTGGTGAATTCCCCAGGCACTGTGACAGGCCTGAAGGCTGCCACTTTGTACCAAATCACCATCAGATCCATCAGTGCTGCTGGGAGAAGCCAGGCATCACCTCCAAGGCAGGCAAAGACAGGTAGCTGAATGTTCATCTTCTGCTGAGGGCTTGCTTGTGAACTGGGTCACTGTTTGTTATACTGATGCTGCAAATCAATGCAAAATGTGACTTGGCTTCCCCTAAGTGCCTACAACTCAGATCCCCAAAGTGGAAGTCACCAAATGATATTCTTGAGAAGCATTTAAATACTGATACTTCGCTTTGGAAAATAAAACCCAATTCTGAGTGTCTTTAAAAGCATCCTTGCTTTTAAATCCCTGAAAACGTGACGATACCTGGTTTTAATCTTGACCATAAAGACTAGGCCAAATAAAGAACTAAAGGAGATTTTACTGTACTTTGACTGCCTGGCATATATATTAACAAATAATATTTGGGGTTTGTCAATACAGTTCTTTAATTTAATAAACTTGTACCTAAGAATATTTCTGAAGAGTCACCTATACATAGAAATAGCAGAAACCATCATTTCCCCATCAGTATCTAATTTTGGATCCATCTTCAGTTGAACGTAGTCACTAATATTTAGAGTTTTATTTTTCCCTATTCCTCTACGTAGTCATTTGTGCTTAATACACACCTAAATAGCAAGTGAAGTCCTGGCATGGCGCTGTAAGATAAGCATTGGACTACAAGAAACATGGCTTGATGTTGCAATAGACATAGTAAACAAAAGAATCTTGGCAAGGCAACTTTTTCTTCTGCAGAAGGGTGCACAGCAGCACAAAGTCTGGCTAGCAAGTACATGGGATGGTGGTCCATTCCATCTTTTATCCCTGACATGTGTCTAAGGCTGTGTCTCACCCCATTGACTAAGGCTTCGACTACTGTCTTGTCCTTACCCGGTTGGCTAATTCAAATTGCTAGGGTGTACAATCTTGCCCTTCCTTGATTGGCTATTTCAAATTGCTAGGGGAGCTTAAGGAAGTTGGGAAGTCCCTACTCACTTCAGGAAGTAGTCACAGATAACAATTTAAAAAAGAAATGTCATCCAAATATAATAAACAGGATTACAATAAATTTGAAGACAAGACACTCATTCCCACAGTTTGAACCACAAGGTTCAAACTCACCAGCGGGCTCTTGAGGGGGGATGGGGGGAACCCTACACAAGGTCACTTAGCAACAACAACAAATAGCAAGTATTTGATGAAACTCTGCTGTGGATTCTTTTGTAAAGCAAATCATTATTTTATAATATGAATAATTCAATTTCAATTTCAATGATCTTTGCCTGGGCTTTCTATTGCAAACACAGTCTTTTTGTTTTTACAGTATTGGCTGCACCAGTTCTAGAAGTGAGTTCTCCAAGTCCAGACTCTATTCTTGTGCAATGGGAAGCTGTATACATGGCTATTGGATTCTCTGTGTCCATTATGCGAGCCAATGGCTTGGGTAGAATATGGAAAGAGAACACTACAAACACATCCTTAACATTCAGCAATCTAGATGCTGGAACTCTTTACACCATAAAGGCCTATGCATGGAATGCCAATGGGATCCCTGGAGATGATTCTACGTGCAATCAGAGAACAAGTAAGAACTTGCAGCTCAGCCTCAAGCCATCTCCTTTTTGATTCAAGAGAAAGCCTGTACATTGTTAGTCTAAAGAGCAGTGTAAGTGATAAGTACAGAGCAGCTGGTAGCAGCTATTTAAATTTATTATGAAGTTATTTATAGTGCCTTAACTATTCCTCCTTGGTAATTTAGACATTTACTGCACGTGTAAAGAAATGCTGCTGGGAATACACTGAGACTCTCCCTCTGATATCCAAGGCAATTTCAACATACGCATTCAATGTCTCACAGCACGAAATGATTCTGATTAGGACTACCAGTCAATCTTCATCCCTTTCTGGGTTCAAAAAAGAATCACATCAAAGGGAAATTCATTTATTCAGAAGACATTTAATGAGTTCATACCAGCTTTGAGCAGGCATTGGTTAGAAATCTGATTGCAGGCAAAACAAAATCCCTGCTGTTAATGATATTTTGCACTGTTTGGGAATCATCAACGTATCGGTTCTCTTTCCCAAAGGCTTCATTCTAGTTCTGAGGCTGACATGGGCCTCCCACCTGTCCTCTGGGTTTAGGCTGAGAAGTGGAGTTTAGTGTGTGTTTTGCACCATCTCCACTGGATTCCAGGCTGGACTGTGGGGGTATAGACTGCCTGAAAGGTTAAGGAAGGAGAAGGAGAGGGCAGATAGAGTGAGAGATAGGCGTTTCCTTCTCTTGAGGAAGAGTAAGATGTCTATTGTCAATGTGGCCTGAAGATGCCGGTTGCTCACTCTAGATTACCTGCTTCATCCCTTGGAAAGGACCATGGAAAGTGTAGGAAAACCTTAGAAATGTCCTCTCCCACATTTCCCATGATGGCAGGGAGGTGGGAGAGGAGACCATTGTCTGTGGGTTGAGGCAGAAATGTAGGGAGAAGAGAAGGGTTTGCTTTTTACAATATTTCTCTGGGGAGAAATCAGAGCAAAATGACCCAAACGGTGATACCAGATGGATCTGGTGCATCAAGATCTCCTCCACAAAAAAAACAGTCTCCCCAGGAATTTTTCTCTATTCATGGATGCTTTCCTGCTTTCTTTCAACAAACATTGATTGAGGGATCACTATGTGCAGTTTAACTGATGGCAAATACAAAGTCAAATAAAATGTGATTCCCTCCTCCCAGAGTGCGGCACTGTAGGATCAGCACTGGACTGCATGGTCAGTTTGAACCATAAGGTTGGCAGTTCAAACCCACTAGCTGCTCCTCAGAAACCTTATACAGGGTTTCTATGACTCAGAAACTATTCGACAGCACTTAACAACAACAAACCTCAGAGAACTGATTGTGTACTCAGAGAGACCAAACTGTGTATTGATGGCTGCTGTGCAGAGCAGTAGGTGCTTTGATTGAAGGGTGCACACCACGGCATAGGAGGAAGCAGTATGGACATCAGGCTGGGGGCTGGGAAAGCCATTTCCTAGTGCAATTGGTTGCTTAAAATCTTCCCCTTAATTTCTTTTTCTGTTTTCAAAAAAGATTTAGGGAGTTAGGATTTAGCTTTCTATAATTTTCCTGGAGATCCTGGTGTGGTGCCACAGGATAAGCACTGGACTGCTAACCCCAAGGTTGGTGATTCAAATCTACCAGCCACTCCTCAGAAACCCTATACCGGGTCACTATGAGTTGGAACTGACTTAATGACACTTAACAACAGCATCAACACATTTTCCTTGGTTCTTGCATTCCTAAGGTGGTAAAAACAAAACAAGACCAGGTTGTCCTGAAACACTGCAAGGCTAAGAGGTATTCAGAGCAGACCAGTCTTCGGACACACTGACCATGCAGTGGGGGAAGGGGACTGTCAGGATTGCCCAAAGGAGAATGAGTTGGGTCCTAGTGTCCTCAAATGGGGTCCTCTCTGTTTGCTTCCATACACGTCCCATACATGTCCAGTTTTCTGAAGTCTGCCAGCTTCTTGGAAGAGGCCAACTTCTGTCCTCCCCATCCCAAGAAAACAACTCCCCAGGCTTTTCAAGGGGCTACACCTGGAGAAAAAGGTGGCCAAATTTCCTAAGAATGTAGTAGGGAAGGGCTTTGGATGGACACAAAAGACTATGTAATTTTCTTACTTGATACTTTGTCTCCTTCCAGAATGGAAAGAAAGTCTGCTCCTCTAGAAACAATTACTGCCTGCAAATTTTCCTGCTAAACGTTTCCAGGAAAGGTCTTACCAGGTATTAGGGTAATGAAAGGCTATTTTTGAAGCTAACTCAATAGAGAGGCTATTTGAACTGTCACTTAATAATAATATCCCTACATAGCCCATTTAGCCTTTCACATTTATAATTTTGTTTAATTCTTTCAAGTACTTGTCAAATGCTGCATTCATTCAAAACTTGTTTATTTAGCACCAGTTATTCACTAAGCCCAAGGAGCTCTGGTAGTGTCGCATTTATGAATCCGACTGTGAACCGCAGGGTCAGCAGTTCCAAACTACCAGCTGTTCCGTGGGAGGAAGATGAGGCTTTCTGCTCCCGTAAAGATTTACAGCCTCGGAAACCCTGTACGGGGGTCACTATGAGTCCGAACCAACTCCACAGCACATAACCACCAACCTCCAACATGTGCTAGGCCCAGCCTCCTGGTATGGCACTGTAGGATAAGCACTAGACTGCTAACCACAAGGTCATTTGCTCCTTGGAAAACCTATGCAGAATTGCAATGAGTTGGAACTGATGCCACAGCACTTAACAATAACAACAAAAACATGTGCTAGGCCTGAGTGGGATAAATGATTTGTACTTGACTACTAACAAAGGTTATGATCAAGAGCCAGTGATAGGTCCAAGGTGCATTGAAAGAATTGGCAAAGAACAAGGCTCCAGGAATTGTTGCAATAAAAATTGAAATCTTTCAAGAAAATGAGTCAGCATTAGAGGCACTCACTCATCTAGGCTAAGAAATTTGGAAGACAACTTTCTGGCTGACTAAATGGAAAAGATCCATATTTATGCCCATTCCAAAGAGAGGTGACCCATTGGAATGTGGAAATCATTGGACAATCTCTTTGATATCACATGCAATTAAAGTTTTACTAAAGGTAATACAGAAACAGCTGCAAGCATACATTGACAGAGAACTTCCAGAGGTTCAAGCCGGATTCAGAAAAGGCAGTGGAATGACGGATATCTTTGCTAATGTCCGATGGATCTTGGCTGAAAGCAGAGAATATCAGAAAGATGTTTACTTGTGCCTTATTGACTACGCAAAGGCTTTCGATTGTGTGGAACATGACAAGCTATGGACAACATTGCAAAGTATGAGTATTCTGGAACACTTAATTGTGCTCATGAGGAATCTGTACCTGGACCAAGAGGCAGTTGTTCGAACAGAACATGGGAAAACTGAATGGTTTAAAATTAAGAAAGGTGTGAGACAAGGTTGTGTTCTTTCACCATACTTATTCAACCTGTGTGCTCAGCAAATAATCTGAGAAGCTGGGTTCTATGAAGAAAAATGTGGAGGAAGACTCATTAATAACTTGTGATATGCAGATGATACAACCTTGCTTGATGAAAGTGAAGAAGACTTAAAATATTTACTGATGAAGATCAAAGACCACAGCCTTCGGTATGTTAAGAAAACAAAAATCCTCACCACTGGACCAATAAACAACATTCTTATCAGTGGAGAAAAGATTGAAGTTGTCAAGGACTTCATTCTTCTTGGGTCAACTATCAACACTCATGGAAGTAGCAGTCAAGAAATCAAATGATGTATTGCATTAGGCAAATCTGATGCGCAAGATCTTTTTAAAGTGTTGAAGAGCAAAGATGCCAGTTTGAAGACTAAGGTGTGCCTGACCCAAGCCATGGTAATTTCAATAACCTCATATGCATGCAAAAGCTGGACAGTGAATAAGGAAGACCATAGAAGAATTGATGCATTTGAGTTATGGTGTTGGAGGAGAATATTGAAAGTGCTAAGGACTGCCAAAAGAACTAACAGATCTTTGTTGGAAGAAGCGCAGCCAGAGTGCTCCTTGGAGGCCAAGATGGCCAAACCTCGTCTCTCATACTTTGGACATATTGTCAGGAGGGACCAGTCTCTAGAGAAAGATATCATGTTCAGTAGGGTTGACGGTCAGAGAAGAAGAGGAAGACCCCTGGCGAGATGGATTGGCAAAGCGGCAGCATCAATGGGCTCAAGCATGGCAACAATAGTGAGGCTGGCCCAGGATCGGGCAGTGTTTCGTTCTGCTGTGCATAAGATCACTATGAGTCAGAACCCACTCAATGGCACCTGATAACAAACAACAACAACAATAATTAACAAAGGTTGGCAGTTCGACCCAACCAGCAGCATTGACAATCTGTTTCCATAAAATGACAGCCAAGAAAACCTATGAAGCAGTTCTGTTTTGTAACATAGAGTTGGAATCAACTTGACAGCAACAAGTTTGTTTTTCAGATATTTATGTGCTAGGCACAGATTGCTCCTCAGAAAGCCTATACAGGGTCCCTGTGAGTTGGAACTGACTAGATGGCACTTAACAACAACAGGCACAGATATTACTAAACCAATTTTACAGATGAGGAAAAATTAAGTGACAATAAGATTAAGTAACCTGGATAAGGTCACAGAACTAGTTATGAGTTTGCATAACTACTGGTAGAAGTGTTCCCAGCTCCCACATACTCACTGCAATTGAATCCATCCTGACTTATAGAGACCCTTGAGGACAGGGTAAAACTGCTCCATAGGGTTTTCAAGACTATATATCAGGGGTGGGGAGCGTTCAGCTTATTGTTATTGTTGTTGTTGAGTGCCCTTGAGTCGATTCTGACCCATAGTGACCCTGTATAGGGTTTTCAAGGAGCAGTTGGTGAGCTTGAACTGCCAATCTTACAGTTCAAACGGCTTTGCAGTCTGGCGCATTAACCCACAGTGCCACACCAGGACTCCATGGACCATATTTTTGTTGTTGTTAAGTGCCGTAGAGTCAGTTCCAACCCATAGCAACCCTGTATAGGGTTTCCTAGGAGAAGCTGGTAAGCTTGAACTGCCAACCTTGCAGTTCAAACGGCTTTGCAGTCTGGTGCATTAACCCACAGTGCCACTATAAGGCCCTCAAAATCATTTGGTCGGGCCCTGCCAAGGCAACCACAGTTTCAGCTATCCCATTATAGCAGGCTAATTTTTGAGTTGATAATTTTGTATGTCCTGCGAATGATGTTATAAATATCCAAATGGCCTTTAGCAGAAAAAAGATTCTCCAGCCATGAATAAATCTTTACAGGAGCAGACAGCCTCGTATTTTGTCCATGAAGCAGCTCCCAAGCATCCGAAGTCCCAATTTTATGCACAGAACACTTGCAATTGTCTACTATCATGGTCCCTCATCCCCCAAGCCCAGCAACATTGTTACGCCAAATCATACTTGAATTCTTGAGGCTACTATAAAAGCTTGACCATTTTTTTCCCTCAAAACTGTAGGTCCTCGTGCCCCTGTCAACATTGAAGTCTCTTTTGATAGCGAGACTCTGAAGGCATCTGTTTCATGGACACCGACAGAAGGAGCTTTCAACTATACCGTGATGGCTTTGGGTGTTTCTTCAGAGCGGAACTGTAGCACGTCTTCCTTCAGTTCCTGCACCATCTCTTCTCTCCAGTGTGGAACAGAGTACTCGATTTCAGTTTTAGCAAGTAATGATGCTGGATCTAGCAAGTCTAATTCAGCAGTGACCCTGAAAAGTGGTATGTAAGCAATAATAGAATCACTTGTGGGGCTGGCAAGTCCATGTGACTACCAAAGGGAAATAAATATCAGCAGATGATGTTCTAGGACACTGTGGAGGAAGTGAAAATGAAAACCTGGGTTAGAAGAAAGCGTAGAGTTGGACATTCTGAAGAGTCTGACGGATAGTGAGACCAGGTTTCATGCGTTGGAGAAAGTATTTCTTTTAAAATTAGGCATTACTGGCTCCTTGTCCAGATTTTTCATCAATGAGTTTTTATTTCATTTATAAAAGTTGTAAAATTCCAAGATTCAGTTTGAGTTCACCCAACTCTAACTGTATAGTAACAGATAACTTCTTCTTCTTAAGTCATGCTTCATATAGACTTTTAAAGATAAAGGTAGACTGTCTATAGTTTTGAATATGTGTTTGGGAATTTCCTGTTTTTGTTCTTTTCAGAAAAACCAAAACAAAAAACAAAAAAAGCATGTATGTGGTGGTTGATGCTGTTTAGAAACACCCATGTGTTTTTGAGGTTGGAGATTAACACATAGTAAAAGTCTGCTATATCCAAGCACTTTTGCTGTTGCTATCAGGTGCTGTTGAGTCATTTTCAACTTATAGTCACTCCATGTGATAGAATAGAACTACCCCATTGGTTCTTCTAGGTGGCACAATGTTTAAGCAGTTGGTTGCTAACTGAAAGGTTGGTAGTTCAAACCCACCAATGTCCCTGGGGAGAAAACACATGGGAATCTGCTATTGTAAAGACTGGTGATGTGCTGTTGAGTTGGTTTTAACTCATCGCAACCCTGTATAGGGCTTCCAAGGAGCAGCTGGTGAGTTTGAACCACCAACCTTGTGGTTCAAACCGACCTTGCGGTCCTGTGCTTATCCTGCAGTGCCACACCAGTTTACAGCCTAGAAAAGCCACTGGGGGCCGTTCTGTTCTGTTTTATTAGGTCGTTGTGACTTGGAATCAGCACATAACAACAATCTTTATAAAAACAGATCACCAAGTCTTAACTTTCATTGAGTCACTGGGTGAGTTTGAACCACCAATATTTTCATTAACAGCTGTGTACTTAACTGTTACCTCATTAGGGCTCCTTGTCCCAAGCACTACAAATATATTATTTTATTTAATCCCTGTGGCAACTCAGTGAAACAGGATCCATCATCTTTTCCAGATAAGAATATTGAAGCCCAGAGAGGTTAAATAATTTTCCCAAGGGTACCCATAGTATGTGGTAGAAATGGGTTTCCATTTCAAATTTGCTTGATTTCACTCCTCTAACAATGATAACAATAATAATAATGCAGATAATTTCAATAATGCCCACCTTATCAAAATGTCATTATTATGTTTTGCTAAATTTAAAGGGGGTCAGCAAAAAAGAGAATTTCCTCAATTATACAGATTGACACAATGTCAGCAATAATGGACTGAAAGAGGACAGTTGTGAAGATGACCCAGGACTCCAGGACCAGGCAGTGTTTTGTTCTGTTGTGCATAGGGTCACTATAAGTTGGTACCTAACAAGTTTAAAAGATTCTGAGCAGTGAGGAAAACAGCTAAAAACTATTACACAGGAATGAAGTAAATCTGTGTCCTTCCAAAATGTGAATTGGGATCCTAGCCCCTAAACTCATGATGCCATATCAGTGCTGTTGCTAAGTGCTGTAGAATTGGTTCCAATTTATAGTGACCCTGTGTAGGGTTTTGGAGGATTAGCTAGTGGGTTTGAACCACTGACCTTGCAGTTAGCAGTCCTGTGCTCATCCTACAGATCCATACCAGGATCCATATCAGTGTGTGTTGTTAGGTGCCATCAAGTTGTTTTCAACTTAGAGCACAACAGCACACAACCCTGCCAGGCCCTGTACCAACCTCACAGGTGTTGTGTTTCAGCTCATGGTGGTCGTCATTATGTAATCCATCTTGTTTGGGGTCTTCCTCTTTTTTATTGATCCTCCACTTTTCTGAGCAACAAAGTCTCTCAATCCTCACTTTTAGAGACAATTCCGACTGTACTTATTCCTATGCCAAGTAGATTTGTTTGGTCTTCTGGCAGTCCATGGTAATTTCAGGATTTTTTGCCAACACCATAATCAAATAAATACATTGATTCTTCTATAGTCTTCTTTATTCATTGTCCAACTTTCACATGCACGTTGTTGTTGTTAAGTACTATGGCTTCAGTTCCAACTCATAGTGACCCTGCACAGGATTTCCTAGGCTGCAAATCTTTGTGGGAGCCGAAAGCCTCATCTTTCTCCCATGGAACAGCTGTAGTTTTGAACTGCTGACCTTGGGGTTAGCAGTCCGATTTGTAACCACTATGCTACCAGAGCTCCTTTTCACATGCATATGAGGCTATTAAAAATGCCATGGCTTCGGTTAGGTCTTCAAACTGGCATCTTTGTTTTTGAACACTTTAAAGAGGTCTTCTACCGCAGAGTTGCCTAATGCAATACATCATTTGATTTCTTGACCTGCTGCTTCCATGAGCATTGATTGTGGATAGTGGATCCATGCAAATTAAACTCTTTGACAACTTCAATCTTTTCTCCATTTATCATGATGCTATTAATTAGTCCAGTTGTAAGAATTTTCATTTTCTTTGCACTGAGTTGCCATCCATACTGAAGACTGTAATCTTTGATCTTCACCTTTATGTATTCTTTATGTATTTCAAGTCCTCTTTGCTTTCAGCATCCTTTTTATATCACCTGCATATTGCAAAATGTTAATGAGTCTTCCTCCAAAATGATGCCATATTCTTCACATAATCCAACTTCTTGGATTATTTACTCATCATACAGATTGAGTAAATATGGTAAAAGGATATAACCCTGACACACACCTTTTCTGATTTTAAACCTTTCAGTATTACCTTATTTTGTTCAAATGGCTGCCTCTTGGTCTATATACAGACTCCCTGTGAGTACAATTAAGTGCTCTGAAATTCCCATTATTTGCAAAATTAACTATAGTTTGTTATGATCCGCACAGTTGAATGCCTTTGCATAGTCAATAAAGCACATGTAAGCATCTTTCTGTTACTCTCTGCTTTCAGTCAAGAGCCATCTGAGGTCAGCAATGATATCCCTAGTTCCACGTTCTCTTCTGAATTCAGCTTGAATTTCTGGCAGCTCCCTCTTAATGCACTGCTGCAGCTGTTTTTGAATTAGCTTCAGCTAACTTAACTGTAGCTGAGCACCCACAAGACTCTTTAGAGCTAATAATAAAACTCACTGCACTTCCCTCACTGCAGCTTCCCATGTGCTGGAAAACAGAATGCATCTTCATGTTCATTGCATCCTCCAGGAAGCCCTTCTAACTTCTACTTTCTAAACTGTGAGAAAACAATTTATTTTTTGTTGTTTTAAAGTTACCACTTGTGGTATTTCTGTTTCAGCAGCACTAGAAAACTAAGACATACCCATAATTTCTTAGAGTTATTGCTAAAGTCACATCACTGATATAACAAACTTAGTGAGTTGACTTCTCTTTTGATAACTATCAGTATTTTGATAACTATCATTATTTGATAACTTGAATATGAAAGGTGTATTCAGAGTGATTATGAGAACATGGTATTTGACAGGGAGAAGACAAGAAACAGACTTCCAGAAGCACAGAGGCTTTAGTCATTCAATGTTAGTCACTCAATGCAGGAGAAATCATCCAGTGGTTTTCAATCTTGGATGTACATTAAGAGTATCTGGGGAGCTTTTATAGAAGCCCAGTACCCAGGCTGCACCCAAGACTAATTACATTAATGTTGCTGGGAATAGAATCTTGACATGAATAGTTTGTGAAAGCTCCCCAGTTGATTCTAACATGCAGCCAAGGTTTAACACTGCTAAAACAGTCCTGCACACTTACAGGTCTAGGAGGCTCTGTGGTAGTTTACGTAAAACCTGATCAATCATAATCATGGGAATAACCTTGTCTCATCAATAAAAGATAGAACTGTATTTAGACGGCATTATGTGTGTCCTGGTGAACTCCAGGCGTGGTACTGTAGGATCAGCACTGAACCACTAACTACAAGGTTGGTGGTTCAAATCCACCAGGCACTCCTTAGGAAACCCTATACAGGGTCTCTATGAGTCTGAACCGAGTCAATGGCACTTAACAATCACAACAATAATGTGTTTCCTTGGGTCTAAAAATATTTCATCTATTTTGGAGAGATTTCCATTAGAGGTGACTAAAAACTTAGAAGCACAGGGGCTTAGAAGAATAAACATAATTTACATACATTCTTCTTCAGAAGACTTTATTCCATGCTGATTCAGATAAATGAGTCTTGGCCTTAACACAGAAAAATAGGTAATGTTAAGCAAGGTGATCAATGTCTGTTGCTGACATAGTCTAGCAAATATTATATGAGCAAGTGTTAAGACATCTAAGAATGTCTTAGTTTTTGCTGACTTTTATATGCTACTTGATTTGTTTCTTGCCCATACCATCTGGTATCTAAACTGTCTGTTTAAGAGCTTCCTGGAGGATGCAATGAACATGAAGATGTATTCTGTCTTTCAGCACATGGGAAGCTGCAATGAGGGAAGTAGAACATAATGGCAGTGAGTTTTATTATTATCTCTAAATAGCCCTGTGGGTGCTCAGCTGCAGTGAGGTTAGCAGTTTGAACCCACTTAGCAGCTCCAATGGAGAAAGACTTGGCGATCTGCTTCCATAAAGGTTGCAACCAGGAAAACCCTTTGGGTCATTTATACTGTGTAATACTTGGGGTTGCTATAAATCAGAATTGACTCAACAGTACACAACAACAACAAATATTATTACCACAGGGAGTTTCTTTACATGTTTGAGGCAAGGTTTGTTTCATTTCTTGTAGAGATTGTTGTTGTTGTTGTTAAGTGCCTTCGAGTCGGTTCCGACCCATAGCGACCCTGTACAGGGTTTCCGAGGGTGTAAATCCTTACGGGAGTAGAAAGCCTCATCTTTCTCCCGCGGAGCAGCTGGTAGTTTCGATGCTAACAACAAAAATCCCTATATCATAAAATGACTTCTCGAACTCTGATAGCCCATTATTTTATCATATACCAAGAGAGTTTGGACAGGTCATCAGAGTTTGATTCACTATTTGTGTCATTGACTGTGAGTTTATAAAGGGTATCTCCTAATGCTTCTGGTACATTGTTTTGCATGTCATGTACCAAATTAAATCCATTACAAAGCTCCAAGTTGCTGATTTAGGTTATCTTGAATTTCTGAAAAACTGCCAGAAAATCTCTTGTACTTCTCTCACAACTATTTATTATTTATCATTTCCTAGTTGCTTGTGCACCTGGAAGAGTGACGATTCAAGAAGACCCCCCTGGCCACCTCTCTGTGGCTTGGCCCACTGTTGAACTGGGTGATTACTATGTGGCCTTTGTGAAGAGCGATGATGGCTTGGAAGTTCACTGCAACACATCCCTCACCCAGTGCAATTTCCTATCTGAGTGTGGATTCACTTACTTTATTAGTGTTTTTGCCTATAACAAGGCGGGACAGAGTCCACTGGGAGATGTGTTCAATTATACCACAGGTAAGTTACATTTCATGCTTGCAAAGGGAGTTTTGAATTTGCTAAACTCAGGAGTAGAATGGATCCACCTTGTATTCATTGATTTGCATAGACCACCTGAGAGTCCTTCTAGGGTCAAGAACAGAAAATGAATTTCTTGTCTTAAGTTCTTTCCAGAGTAGGCAATTTTGACAATAATCTATAGCTTAGAAGGGAAAGAATGTAGTAGTTCAACCTTGCTCTGAAAAATGGAAACTTCCCCGAAGATTTCAGAGCTCAGTCCTGTGCTAGATGCTGGAGACCAGAGTGACAGATGCAGTGGTGAAGAGACTGTGATGTAGAGGGCTTGGGAGGAGGACACCTGGGTTTAAGTCCTAACTTGACCACTAACTCATTTGTAAGATGGGCTAATGATGCTTGTCTAATTAGTCTCTAATATTCTCCTTTGCAACATGGGACAAAAAATAATAAAGACAGGAATCTGTAAAGGTCTTTGTAAGTGGTTAAGTACCATACAGCTGTTTCTATTAGCATCATTATTACTGTTACAATTTTTCTCCTCAGCTGGGCAGTTAACAACAACACTTAGGCATAAAATTCTATAAAACAGGGATTGTATTTTACTTATCTTCTCATCCTCAACACTTAATCACAGTGTGATTGGTATATGGGAATAAATGAAGTAAATGACTTGAAATTAATTACATTTATAAAGGAGAATATTGTTGTTGTTAAGTGCTGATGAGTCAGTTCCAATTCATGGTGACCCTGTATAGGGTTTCTGAGGATCAACTGATGGGTTTGAACTGTTGACCTTGTAATTTGCAGTCCAGTGTTGATCCTACAGTGCTATACCATATAGTATTCTTATTACTATCATATAATTATGCAAATGACAGCATTAGCTTGGTTACAAGAAAGTTTACCAGAATGAGCAATCCAAATAATTGATGCCTCTGAAATTTGGAGTAAAAGACTTGATAGATAGGATCTAAAGAACATAGAGAGGGTCTTCCAGAGAGAGTGGCCTTGAATTAGTACATTAAGGATGTGTGGAATTTGGGTGGAACAAGAACACTCCAAGCTAAGTTTAATCAGAATTTGTCTTTGGGACTCTGTAAGGGTCTCATCTAAAATCTTCTAATATAATGATGCTCTCCTCCCTCCTCCCGTTTATCTGTTTAAGTGCCTGCAGAGGCTGATGTGGATCTGAGAAGTTAGACTGAATATAATTTTATGAGACAGAAGAGAGAAGGCATTGGAGTAGAGGTGTCAAGAGTCTTCAAGGCACAGAGAGAGTACTTGGTGGTGGTGGTTATGTTCTGTTGAGTCAGTTCCGACTCATAGTGACCTGTACAGGGTTTCCGGGGCTATAAATCTTTATGGGAGCAAAACGCCTCATCTTTCTCCCACGGAACGGCTGGTAGTTTCAAACTACTGACCTTGAGGTTAGCAGCCCGACTGGTAACTACTACATTACCAGAGCTTCTTTGAGAGAGTACCTATGGGGTAGGAATTGAGGAATCTGCCATAGTGGTAGGTGGGGAGGGAAAGTAATGCAACTGAATAGGTAGCTGGATGCAGCTTTCATTGACCTGAGTATCATGTTGAAGAGTCTTCCTCTATGGAGTGGATGTTAGACCAAGATTGAAGCTGGACAGGCGTGAAGGAGGTTATTGCAGTAATCTGGGAGGGCGGTGGTAGAGAGGCTCTGTGCAAGGGGAGGTCAGGATCTCAGTGTCTCCCTCTGGTGACTTTGGGCTGGACTGACCTCCAGTTTCTGCTCTTGCTTTCAGCTCCCTGTTGTCCTAGTGACATTAACCCGGTGTTGGTGTCTGGTGACAGAGTACAGATCGTGTGGTCTCCTGCTCGTGGTGCTGAACTCTATGAAACGCGGGCTACAGATGGGTATATTGTGGTTGAGTGCAATGATACTGCCCCTGCTTGCACCCTTTCAGCTTTAGACTGTGATACCAAATACAACATCACAGTGTATTCCTTCAGCGAAGTCCGGGGCAGCAATATGTCATGTACTTCACAACTGATAACCACAGGTATGGTACAGCTCTGACTTCATTTGTAGATGTCTGAATGACTCACCCCACTTATGTGCCTCAGGGAGTTCTGGTATGGCTTTGTAGAATAAGCACTTGACTGCTAACATGAGGTTGGCAGTTCAAACCCACCAGCAGCTCCTTGGAAACCCTATATAGGATTGCTATGAGTTGGAGCTGATTCAACGGGCACTTAACAACACTGAATAGTGCAGATGGTAAATACACTGAGTTGCTAACTGAAAATTTGGAGATTGGAGTCAACTCAGAAAAGCTTTGGAACAAAGGCCTGCTGAGAAAACAGCCATTAAAAATGCTGTGAAGCATAGTTCTACTCTGACATACATGGGGTTGCCATGAGTCAAAGATGATGCAACAGCAGCTGGTTATATGTCCCTGAGGATGAACATTCAGCAAGACATATAAAAAAGTTAAATCCTATTGCTCACTCTTTGTGGGTATCAAGAGAGTCCCTGTTGGACTAAGGAGAGGCAAAAGAAAGGAGGAGAGTGGGACAGGGGACAAAACAAAAAAGGAGACAGGAGGGAGACTAGAAGGTTTCATCAACGATCATATTAGCCATTTAGTTCTTCCTGCCTTTGGAAGGCCTGCCGTATATTTACACTTTGACGATGTAGACTAAATTTTTGTCTTATTTATTTTGGGTTTTGGAGTTCAAACATTTTCTAGCTAACCCATCACTATAAAAATCCAATACCATGTCAGTGCCAACAATTTTCCACAGAAAAGTTCTATGAATTTAGTCTATGTGTATGGTATGGTTAAAGGGAATGAGAAAAAATAGTCAGTTTTAGGTTAAATGGCACATGTGATATTTTGACTTATGCTTTTTTTTTCTTTTTAAGTTTGTGTTGTGAATTGAGTGAAAGTTTACAGGGCAGAGCATCAATTGTACATTCAACAAATCATATACTTTGTTTCATTACAATGGTTATAATCTCTTCAATGTACCATCAGTTAACAGTATTTCTCTCTAGTCATTTTAGCTCTTTTTTTTTTTTTTTTTTTTTAAACACTCAGGTATATATAATAATTTAAACCACCAAAGGGCACATTCTGCAAGTCTGCCTCCTGGCCACCAGCTTTCAGTCCCTCTCTTTCCATGAATCTAAACAAAAAACAACAGAGAGTCTTCAGCTGCTCCCTCTCTCCATGTCCCCATCTCTGCCTCCATTTCTGGTGTGGCTGCTTCTCTGGATAAGGTCCCGCATTCCACTTGTGCTCTTCTCCCTTGATGATCCTAGGGTCCTCTGTTTCTAGTCTGTAAGATTAACTACTCCCCTGTTTTTGTTACAAAACTTCTACCTTTACAATTGTGAGAGTCACAATCAGTCATGATAACACTTATTCACTATTGAATCAAAAGAATCTTATCCCCATCTCTTTTAACCAGACCCATCTAGACAAGAGGAAAACTATTTAGTGGGGATGATTTTTTTTTTTTTAACTCGTGTTCTTTTAATTAATAATCTCAATTCTCTTAGCTCCTTGTAGCCCTGAAATAAAAAATGTTTCGAAGGATGCATTTTCCGAGATTAATGTGCACTGGCGATCCACTAATGATGATGCCACTTACACGGTGACTGCCCAAGGGGAGAAAGGGCTGTATCAGTGCAGCAGCCAGGGGGAGTCCTGCACCCTGGTGGGCCTGCCCTGTGGTTCAGGGTTCTCCCTCACTGCTGTGGCTGAAACCCAGGCAGGATGGAGCCTGCCAAGCTACAGTGTACCCCTGGAAACAGGTATGTAGCAAGCACCAGCCTGAACACTTGCTTCAGTAGGGTCCTTAGAAATTGTTCTAAGATGTGAATTTTCTTACTGGATCTGCTCTATGTGTGTTGTTATTAAGAGTCCTAGTCTTTGAAGAAGGAACTCTGGTAGCAGAGTGTTTACGAATCAGGCTGCTAACCTCAAGGTCGGCAGTTCGAAACTACCAGCTTTCCGTGGGAGAAAGATGAGGCTTTCTGCTCCTGTAAAGATTTACAGCCTCGGAAACCCTGTGCAGGGTCACTATGAGTTGGAATTGACTCCACGGTACTTAACAACCACAACAACAGTCTTAGAAGAAAAACTTTTCACATTTGTACACAGGTTATATAAAGTGATCATTAGACAAATCATGTGTTCATAACCACTGGCACCAAAGGTGGCATACACTGATTTTTAAAATCATTTCTTTGAATTCCTATTTCTCCACAACTTAGTCTATCAGCACAGCTAACAAGTAACTAAATAAGCTGGTTTATTATTGATTTATTTTACTCCACACTTGCAAGTGTTTCTTTAAAAATGCTTTCTGAACTTCAGTTTCCAGATCAGTACATGAAGAATAATGGTCTCATAGTATGGTTGTGAGCAATGGGTTAATAATGCTCTGGACTGCAAAGTTGCTTTGAACTGCAAGGCTGGCGGTTGAAGCTCACCAGCTGCTCCTTGGAAACCCTTACAGGTTGCTATGTGTTGGAACCAACTTAACGGCACTTGACCACAACAACAATCAAGCTCTTAAGGAGCTCTGGTAGCATGGTGATTAAGAGTCAGGCTGGTAACCTCAAGGTCAGTATTTCGAAACTACCAGCTGTTCCACGGGATAAAGATAAAGCTTTCTGCTCCTGTAAAGATTTACAGCTTTGCAAACTCTACACTGGATTGCTATGAATCATCCGATTCCACATAACTGCCACCACCATGATCAAGCTCTTAGCGTAGTCCCTGATACACTGTAAGAGCTCCATAAAAGAAAGCTATTTTTGCCTCAGCATATATAATTTTGTGTGTGGATGAAATTGAAATCATTTGAAGCCTTTGGACATCATTTTCCCTTATATACAATGGAGGAGTTGGAAAGAAGTCACCTCAAACTACGAAAGTTGAAAAACTTGAAAAGCAGCAGATTAAACAGCAATGCCAAACATACACCCAGGAAGATTCCCGATCACCTTTGATCTGGATCCCTGAAACATTGAGACTTAATTATATATACATACAGTATCAGAGGTGGTTAAGAATATCTCAGGTTTTTATAATGAATGATGTATGTGTGAGAAAGATGAAATATATTTTATTGCAGAAGTTATGAAGAAGTAGAAGTGAATACTCTGATACTTTGAAATTCCCAACTGGAATTGAATAAGTTAGGGACTAACAAATAATTTTTTTCATATTCTAAAGAAACAAATTGGGTGAGCCCTCACAATATCCAATGACTAATTTGTGCTCTGCCTTTTCGGAAAAAATCACCCAGAATCTACAGTCATATTACAGAGGAAAAAAAGAAGGGTGGACATATTGATTGACAATTGAAGGATTCAAACATTCACGCTATTGAACGAAACATAGGCACTATAGCATCATTGATAGTTGATTGTTTCCTTCCCCACACCCCACCCCAAACAACCCTCATTTGGAGTGAAGTTTGATACTTTCTCTTTTTTCTCATTTAAGTGCCATGCTGTCCAGCTGGTCTGACAGTAACTCAGGTCACCCAGTCGGTCACCAACGTGAGCTGGAATATTGGGACAGGGGCCCAAACCTATGTGGCAGTGCTGGAGTCACGTGCTGGACAGTCTAAGTGCCACACCCATGAGAACCACTGCCTGATAGGATGCATCATGTGTGGTGTCAATTACACAGTGGCATTGAAAGCAATTAGTGCTACTGGGCTGACTGCAGATTGTGCCTTCCAAAGCTACTCCTCTAGTAAGTAAATTCTGAACTCCAGCTCTAAGCCACTTGCTGCCAAATCAGTTCTGACTCATGGCAACTCCATGTGTATCAAAGTAGAACTGTGCTCCATAGGGTTTCTAAGGGCCGATTATTCTGGAAGTAGTTATTAAGAGTTTTCTTCTGAGGCACCTCTAGGTGGATTTGAACGTCAAAGCAATCAAGCACATAAACAAGTTGCATTGCTTTTTTTTTAAGGCATCTAATCAGAGAAGCACTGGTGGATATTCAAACTCACAAGTAGATCTTTGGGAGAAAGATGAGGTTTCCTCTCCCATAAAGATTTATAGCCTTGGGAATCCTATACTGGGTCACTAAGAGTCAGAACCAAATCCATGACACCTAACAAAACAACAAAATCAGCTAGCACATATGAAATGTGGACCAATCTGCTTGTTGCATAAGTGACTGCTTGCAGGGTGCTATGCTACCTATTGCTCTTGTTGTTAAACTGCCATCGAGTAAACTCCAATTCATAGCGACCCTATGTAGCGTTTCCAAGGAGTGGCTGGCTGGTAAGTTTGAACCACTGACCTTGCAGTTAGCAGTCCAGTGTTGATCCTACAGTACCACACCAGAACTCCCTATGCTACCTACTTCAGTAAAACTGGATCTTAAAAAAAAAACACAAAAAAAACCTGGGTCTTGACTATAATTAACTATAGGAGTCCCTGGGTAGTACAAACAGGTAACACACTGGGTTGCTTAAAGAAAGGTTAGAGGGTTGAGTTGAAAGAAAGACCTGGCCTGAAAACACCAGCTACTGAAAAGCCTATGGATCACAGTTCTGCTCTGGTGCACATGGGGTTGTCACCTACTGGAATTGACTTGACAGCAACTGAGTGTTTTTGGTTTATAATTCAATTTAGTTCAATTTAATCCCACTAAAATGACATGAACCTAGAGTATTAGAAAGATCCTGCCAAAGTATGTGCATTTGATGTCTACAGTTTGAGTCATGTACAATGAGCATCTGCCAGGTGTGCACCTTTTTAATCACCATTGTTCTTGATTTAAAAGGCATGCCCACCCCACCCAGACATGTGCATTTTTCATCAGGTAGCCTACCTCAGAAAGAATTTGGGTACCTCTTCAAATTTTACTCAAATTAATCATATTATTTGTAATAGATTACTAATATTGTTTTCCTATGGCGTTTCCAGGTGGTCCAAATAGTTAACACACTTGGCACCAGCTAACTAAAAGGTTGGTACCTGGGTAGAAAGGTCTAGCAATCCACTTCGGAAAACCCAGCCATTGAAATCTCTTGGATTCACAGTTCTACTCTAACAAACATGGTGTTAACATTTGTTGGCGTCAGCTGTATAGTAGCTAGTGATATTGTTTCTCTGTAGTAGTAAAGGATTTTTTGTTGCTGTTCTTTTATTTGTATTCTTCAGGTGCCTGCTGTCCTTTGGGAGTGAAATTATACAGGCTGGGTCCTAATGGTATCCGGATCTACTGGCAAATCTCCAGGGGTTCTGCCAACTATAGCACTGACCTCTATGGCTCCAAGGGCATCTTCACCTGTGCCCCCCGCTCCAGCCTCAGCTTTTGTGATATCACAGAGATACCCTGTGGAGATGTGTATACTGTGATGGTCTCTCCAGTCTCCGAAACAGGACTGAAGCTTAGTTTCTGTCCTAAAAAAATATACTCAGGTAGAGCAAGTTATGCCCTTTCATTTAAAACCAACCCCTAACTAGATCTGTGAATGAAGACTCAGTGCAATCACCTTATTTGCTATGTATGGAGAAAAAAGGAAAAGAGCCTAAAACTTTCCAGGCCGATTCTGGCTTCAGGGGACCCAAAACTTCTTTGGAATTAGGATGCTTTCTTATCATTTGATTTAGGGGTACTCCCCCTTCCATGGCCTTCTCTTCCCCTTCAGAAAAAGGGCCAGATGCTTTCTGCTAAAATAGTAAGGCTAATTACAAATGGCTCTCTGCTTTGAGACTTGAGGATAGATTTGGAACACAGTCTTAGCGATAATGACAGACATATGGGGTGTTGGAAATTGAGGGGCTTGAACCTTTATTTTCACAGATTCCAAGATATGACACAAGACGAGTTGGAGGCTCAGAAAAAAAACTCCATGATAAATCATAATCTAGGTTTGGAAATGTGAGTGGGCAGACAGCCTGTGATCACAAGGCATGGCTGTCAGCAACTGCCATCTCCCCAAAGCTGGCAGACACATGAGCAATGCTCCTGCTTTTTATTCCAACCCCCGCTGTTGCATCACCTAGGGCTCTGTCATCCACTTTTCATATCATCCTAAAATAAAAGGGATCAGATGATGAGGCCCTAGAACTTTGCAGGTAGGCACAGGAAAAGGGGTAACTATCAGCTCACAAAACTGTATTGAGAACCAAACCAACAAAACTCTACTGCCATTGAGACTGCTTGAACTCCCAGCATCTCATCTTTCTCTTACTGATAACTAGGATCTAAAAATTCCAATTATTTGTTGGTGACACAAGGGGTCAAGATGAGTCTTATGATGGAGTCAGGCCAGCTCCTCCTGAGAGATTGTTCTCGTGTCCTTGGCTATCCTGCTCTGGTTCTTTGTTCATTAATTTCTCCACAGGACCAGCTGTGGGAAGAACAGGAATAGGTTCTTGAGGGGTGACAATGAGGTCTTAGGCAGAGAAACCTAAAGAACACTATCAATAATCTAACACATTCATACAATATTTTGTAATTTATCAAGTGTTTTCACATTCTCATTGAATACTCAAAATAATTCTTTGAGGTAGGTTCAACAGATTTTATTATCTCCAAATTATAAATGGATTAACTGAGGCTTCAAGGGTTACAAATCTCTGTCTTCAGCCCGTCTCTTTCTCTTAATTTCTAAATTCAAATTCCAACTTGACTCTTCTACTTGAAGATGATGTCTCAAGAATTTAAACTCCAGTGTTTGAACACCTGATCTTCTCCTGATGTTTCTGGTATTCCTTTCATCATCCTTCTTTCAGGTACAAAAGCTGAAAACCCTAAGTCAGCTTTCATTTCCCTCACCTTCTATGTCTTTCCAAGTAGTCTCCAAGTCCTATCATGTTCACCTCCTTGATGAAATCCAACTTCTCTTCATTCCCATCGCTACAGTCAACACCTTGTCCCTAGATGACTGAACCAGTCCTATCTTTCTTCCTTCACTTCAACCTCTGTATTATTCCCAGAGTTATCATTGTAGGACACTGATGAAATTGTGTTACTTTATGACCGTACAGCACCCTTATTTTACCACACCATATTACTCTAAAAACAGATGTGAGGATGGCGTAGGACTGGGCAGTGTTTCCTTGTGTTGTGCATAAGGTCGCTATGACTCAGAAATGACTCAATGGCACCTAACAATGTTATTATAAGTTGAATGTGTGGTATCTATCATACTAGTTGGCAAATGTCATTGTTGTTAGGTGTCATAGAGTTGATTCTGACTCATACTGAGTCTATATGACAAAGTAGAATTGCTCCAGGTTTTCCAAAGCTATAATTTTTACAGAAACAGAGCTTTTCTCCTGTGGAGCCACTGGTGGGTTCCAACTGCCAAATCTTTAAGTTAGCAGCTGAGCTTTTAACCATTATACCCGCTCATAGCTGGTGCCAAACATATTTTTTAAATTTTAAAGAGAAAGACTAAATACATGATGCACTTAACGTGCTTTCCTATAATCATACAACTAGTAAATGTTCTTTCTCCTGTTTCACAGGAGCACAATTCAAACAATTAGAGAATCATTCCTCTGATGTTTGACAGCCACCAGAAGTGCTTAGTTAGAATTTGAATAGTCTTTGGTGGGGTACCATCTCAAGTCTGAAACCACTTCACCTTAGTAAGGCTTGGGTACCTAGACGTAAGTGTGGGGATTAAACTGCAAAAACCATGTGTAGGGCATCTCTGACTTCCTCTGGCTTCACAAGGGAGGATGGAGAATCAAACCCAAAACCACCACAAGGCAGATTCCTATACAGTGGAATTATTTGGTGGGAATTAAGTCATTGGATAGAAAAGCCATATCAAATAAATTCAAGGTACCACACCACCATTACTGTTTCCCTGGTAAAATTCATGCATTTGGGAGATGCTTTTTTTTTGTTTGTTTCATTTGAGTGGTAATATTAGTGATGGCAAGGATTCCTGGTAGCATAGTGGATTACGAGCTGGTCTGTTAACCATAAGGCCAACAGTTTAAATCCACCAGTCACTCCATAGAAGAAAGATGAGACTTTCTGCTCTAGTAAAGATTTACATCCTCAGAAACTCTATAGAGGGTCACTGTGAGTCAGAATCAACTCCACGGCATACCACCACCATCAATGATGGCTTATTCTGGAAATCAGGAAAAAACTCAAAATGATAATAACAACCAGTGTTTATTTAGTGCTTTGTGCCAGACACTATTCTAAAAGCTTTATATTTATTAATTTGGTTAATCCTTGTAACAACCCTATGGAGGTGGCATTGTTAGTCTTACATCGTTACCACTTTACAGATACTAAACTGAGACATAGAAAGGTGAAGTGACTTGGTGAAGGTCACATTGATAGTAAGTATCACTCAAGCTGGTTCTAATTCTTTGTTTCACTCTTGTCTTAATTCTTTAGCGCTGCTATAACAGAAATAGCAAAGAGAAATTTATTCTCTCACAGTTTGTTGTTGTTCAGTGCCATCGAGTCGGTTCCGACCCATACTGACCCTGTAGAGGGTTTCCAAGGCGCAGCTGGCGAGCTTGAACCACTGACCTTGCAGTTCAAACAACTTTGCAGTCTGACGCATTAGTCCACAGCTCCACTAGGAGGCTATAAGTCTGAATTTAGAACACTCGCTTTGGAGAGAGGTCCTTGTCTCCTTTTAGTATCTATAGGCCCAACATTCCTTGAAGATCTCCATGTGTCTTGGCATTAGTCTTTTCTTGTAGACCTGCAGGGACTCCAGGTCCACTCCTAGCTCTACTTTCATGGTGGCAGTAGGTCACTCTGAGCTTTCTTTGTGTAATCTTTTATATATTTCAAAAGAGATTGACTCAAGATATAACCTAATCCTGCAGGTTGTGTCCAAGCTCATTATCATCAAAGAAGTGAGAATTTACAACATAGAATAATTACATCAGATCAGGAGAATCACATCAGATCACATCATAGGGGGTAATTACATTGTATTAGATCTCATCATGGGGGATTACTATGCTGTAAGAAATAAGAAAGAAAGAGATGAGGAGGGAAACGTGACTTCAACAGCAGGCAGGTTTATTGAGAATAAACCTGGGAGGGGGAACTCAAAGTCAAGAGAGACAGAGAGTCCATTCGTACCTTACAGACTGGTGTATTTAAGGTGGTGCAGTCCCAGGTACAGTAATGGGAGGATTCAGGAATGGGAGGTTTGGTGGGCTTTTAATGGGTGGAATTATGGAGATGTTCTGGAAAACAGAAACTACGGGAGGGAGGGCCTTTAGGTGTAGCAAAGATTTAAGCTTTCAGGAGACCAAAGCTTAAGCAGGACTTTATTCAGCATCATTTTGGGGGCAGGGTCCTTTATATGCCTTAACTGCCCAACTACTGAGAATCCAGGCCCAGCCAAGTTGACACAAAACCTTAACAATCACAACTCTCCTTTTATTCTGTCTTAAATTGTATCTTTATCATCTTGAGTAGATTAAAGAATATATTTTAAATGCTTGTGTTTTTATTTATTACAGTAACCTGCTCTGGCAGTACACTTGGAATGGGTAAGTTGTTTTTCTCCTGGGTGAAATAGGAGGGCTGTTTTGTTGTTGCATCTTGGGATGACTTAATGAAGTTGGGATCAAAGTTGACTCTTCAATTAGTCTGAAAGACAAATGCTTTCTTTCTGTGATGTGAGATGTTTCTGTCACTCCTCCTCAACACTCCCTTTTCCTTTAATTATAGTACCTCCCCTCAGGTTTTGCCAGTTGAGATGAACTCCCAGGGATTCTGAAGTCTTTTCAGTCTTCCAGGAAAATGTAAATATTCCTCAGAGGAGCAGCTGTTGAATCTTTCATAAAGACAGTCCCCAGGTTATAAGTGTGATCAGTTCTTATGTGTATCTTTAAGTCAAATTTGTAGATAAGCTGGAACAGGTGCATATGGTTCTTATTTAGCCTTACTTTAGTGTAAGAAAAGACTAGAAGCCTATTCATTTATTTAACATTTCTTTAGAATGTGAAACAAGTGAAGGTGATTATGACAGTGAATTTGTCCTGAGCAGGGGTTGGTTCATTTCAAAGTAAGGGCAAATTTATATAACATTAAGGGACAAGTATGAGTTGGATGCTTGTAATCCATGAATTTATTGTGCTTTAGAAAGTGGTTGTTGCAACTCTGGCTTTACCTTGGAATCACTCTAAGAGCTTAAAAACAACTGATAACTGAGCCCATCCCCACAAAGTTTGATTTAATTGATCTGGGTATAAAGTCTGTGCTTTTTTTTTTTTACTTTTTATTGTGAATTGAGTGAAGTTTTACAGAGAAGGTCATCAACTTGACTTTCAACAAATCAGATGCTTTGTTTCATCTCAGTGATTGCAATCCCCTCCATGCAACAGCAGTTATCCCACTTCCTCCCTATGGTTCTTAGCCCCATTCCACCCTCCTGCTCATTCCTTTTCAACTTTGTCCTTTTGATCTTGAAAGATTTACTGTTCCATAGTGAGCAGATCTTATTAGTGCTGTTGCCCCCACTACATACTTGTCTACTGCCTGACTTTCAATTGGACCATGAGGGTGAGGCCTGTTCCAACTTGAACTGTTGTCAGGTCATACTCTCAGGCACGTTCAGTCTCTTTCTGACCTGTAAGTCCAATCTTTTTTCTTTTCTTTATTTAAAATAATTTTGAGTTTTGGTCCACATTTTTCCCCACACTATCTAAGACCTTCAAATGTGATCCCTTTTACAACAGTTGGCCATGGTAGCTGGGCACCAACTAGTTCTGGTCTCAGGGTTGTGGTGACTGATGTTCACATGTTCTATTGGTCCATTGGACTAGCTGATTCCAAACATCTTTAAATTCTTATCCCTCTCCTTTCTTCTGCACATGGAGAGAAAAGCCTGAGAATTTTAGAAGCTTCTCAGGTTAAGAACTACTGTCTTTAGTGTAGTGCTTCTCGAACTTTATTGCACATGGACCTTTTTGCTTCCATGCAGATTTTGCTTCAGCAAGTCTGGGGAAGGCCTGAGAGTTTGCACATCTCACAAGGTCCCAGGGATGCTAGTGCTGGCCGTGCTGCTGGTCTGACTGCACTGTTAGTAGCCAGTGAGTCTGCAGAGAGCTCAGATGTCTGCCTACTTCATAGGTTAGGTGGGTATGTCCAGAGGGGAAAGGGGATGCTGAAGTGGAGTGACAGTAAAGATCACCCGTTTTGCCTCCTCAGTTTTGCTCAGGGCTGATGCTATCCATGCTATTCTTGGTGCTCCAGGGAGGAGGCTATTCTAGAAATGACCTCATGGAGCTGTGTGAGTGTGTGTGTCAGCCCCAAACTACAGACCACTTTAGTCAGGTATGACTGGTTTCAGAGAGTGGGAATGAAGCCTCCCACAGAACAGCCTCATCGTCTGGGCCAGTTCTGCATTCAACCCCTTCTTCTTCCTTCAGGAGTTTGGCCTGGAGTCTTTTTCCTCTGCTTGGATCCCATTCTTCTTCTGGTCCATTGATTCTCTGAGCAGACCAAGATACATACTTTCCAAGACCTGCCCAACTGCAGTTCTGAAACAAGTGTTGCTGTTGTTAAGTGCCATTGAGTTGATTCCGACCCATAATGACCCTGTATAGGGTTTCTGAGGAGCAGCTAGTGAGCTTGAATCGACGACCTTGCAGTTCAAACAGCTTTGCAGTCTGGCGCATTAACCCACAGTACCACACCACTATTAATGTTTAAAGGGATTTTGTTTCCGGTATCTATAAGGAAACAGATAAGTCTATCAAAACATGCTATGAGGAAACTTTTAAATCACAAACAAACAAACAAAAAAATATTTTAAAAATCTCCCAGATCTAGTGGCCATGAGCCTGGTTTTAAGCAAAATGTACGTGGGCCTCGGTCTACATTCTGAAGACCTGTTTCCAATCTTGTTCAATACTGTTGAGTCAGTTCTGACTCATGGTGGTAGTGGTTGTGTGCCATCGAGTAGGTTCCAACTAGTAGTAACCTTGTATAGGGCTTCTGAGACTGTAACCCTTTACAGATGCAGAAAGCCTCTCCTTTCTGTCTCAGAGTGGCTGGTTAGTAGCCCTTTCGGTTAGTAGCTCATTTCTAATCCACAACACTACCAGGGCTCCTTATAGTGACCCTGTATAGGGTTTCTAAGGTGGGAAAGCCTCATCTTTCTCCCTCAGAGTGACTGGTAGGTTCAAACTGCCAACCTTGTGGCTCGCAGTCCAGTGTTTATCCTACAAAGCCACCATGCTGCCCTTCCAATATTGTCATGGATTTTAACTGGTGTTTCCAATTAAAAGTTATAGAAGTGTAATAGAGAATAATAGATGTGCCTTGGGAAATCCCTGGAGAATGGTGGTATATTATACATTGGCCTTCCGTAAGATTTTGTTAGTTATTGCACTTAAAAAAAAATGTTTGTCAAACCATTACCTCTATTCGCTCTTGCATTCCTTCCTGTGTCTCCAGCTACCTTCATTTTTCCTTGTGGTCCTGTGCTTATCCTACAATGCCACACCAGAATCCCCATTACTATGCACTCATATTAATGTCTTAATGTCCTACTTCCAAGTAAGATGCTTGCATTTTAACCTTAGTCCTCATGATACCCTAAGTCAGTAGCTCTTGGCGTGTGGCCCCTGTACCAATAGCATCTGCATCATCTGGTAGCTTCTTAGAAATACAATTTCTGAGGCCATAACTCAGATCTACTAAGCGGTGGAGCCCAAGCATCTTTATTTTAACAAGTCCTTCTGATACATACTAATGTTTGAATGTCATGGTTCTAATTTAAGGAAACTATTTTAATGCTGACAACTTGATGCTAGTTGAAAGAAAGAGGGAAAACAATCTATTTGAGGAAACAGAGTTTTAGCAAGAGGTAGACAAGCAGGGTTCTGTGCCTTGCTTCATTCTATGTGGCCATCCATCATTTTGTCTGCATTATTACCTACACATGAAAGGGGACTTGAAGGAAGTTTCCTCCATGTCATTTCTTCAGCAGTTGCACATGTTTATTTTCTCCCTAACAACTCCCCAAATCAATTAAATTTTGGATCTCCCAAAGGTAAAAAAAACTAGTTGGCCTGGGAGTTGTCCAGAATCAGTAGCCTGAGTTCAATGAGAATCTTGGGGAAGGTTCATTTCATGAAGCAAGAAGAGATCATCTTGTCAGTTAGTCATTTCTTATTATCTTTTAAACGGTTTAAGGAGTCCTGGGGGTGTAGTGGGTTAAGCAATGGGCTGCTAACCTCAAGGCTGGCAGTTCAAACTCACCAGTCACTTCATGGGATAAAGATGAGGCTGTCTGCTACTGTAAAGATTTCAAGTCTCAGAAACCCTAAGGAGCAGTTCTACTCTGTCTTATGAAATCACTGTAAGTCAGAATCGACTTGATGGCATTGGGTTTCTCAGACAGTTCAGATTGTGTTAATTTCCTGCTTGTTTGCTGTGAAGTGCTGGGGTGGGGGGGAAGTGCTTCAAATCAAAGTACTAACATGAATCTCAGAGAATTTGAGGGTTTTCAATTTTTTGTAAGATTTTATGTGCATATTTAATGCATCTTACCACCTCCCTCGCTTATTTTCAGTGATTTACAGAGGAAAGAGAAATGCAGACTGATACAGTAAGCCTTGGATAAAAAGACTTGATAAGTGAGTACTTTAAATTGCATTTGTGTGATTCAGCAGAAAAACATACATATATTAATTCTTCTCACTTCTTTTGCAGAGTTGTCTCAATTGTTAGTGATTAGAGACGGCAATGAAGTATTGGAACATAAAATGCCTCTAGTATAAGAAAAGTACCTTTGGCCTTCAACTCTTGACTCTACTACCAGAAGACAAGGTCCAGTATATCTTTCCCTGCATAGGAGTTCAAGATCTGCTGTAATGACAGCTCTGGAGACAAATGGATCCAGAAATACAGGAAATCCTCTGTAAGGCTGCCAGAGTGATCATGTAAACTGGTATCACCAGGGAGATGCAGAGGTGTAGATTGCATCAGGTGACACCATTAGAGGTGATGCCAAAATGACTGTATATATATTTTTTGTGTCATTTTTAGCAGAAATTCATCTTTAATGAAAATATACATGTACTTAGTTGTAACAATAAAAACATTTTTTTGTAAATCCACACATACATTAATAAACCTATAAGGCTTTTAGCAATTTACTTTTTAACCCTTGAATGCACTCCTTCCTCTTTGTTTCCAAATTTTTGCATTCTAATCCATATCAGTGCATCTAGTTGGAAAATATGCTCTTGGTGACAAAAGCAATGCTGAAGATTGTATGATAGAATTTTGCAAGACCAACAATTAATTCATTGCAAATAACTTTTATCAACAACATAAATGGCAACAATACACATGAACCTCACCAGATGGAATACAGAGGAATCAAACTGACTACATCTGTGGGAAGAGATGATGGAGAAGCTCAATATCATCATCCAACACAGGGGCTGATATAGAACAGATCATCAATTGCTCATATGTAAGTTCAGGCTGAAATTAAAGACAATAAAACAAGACCACTGTCTTAGGCCAGGTTTTCTAGATAAACAAAACCATTAAAACATATATATGCATATGTATATAAAGATAAGTTTATTATCTTTACCATTGTAGAGTCCCAGGTCCCCAGGGGAAGAGCAAGAGAGTGAGTTCCTCCTGCGTGTCCATTATATTGGGAGCAGGCCACAACCCCAAGGAAGCATCCCTTTAATTGATTGGCTGTTCATAGCCACTCATCATGAAACTATGCTTGTATTAAGTTTCATCACCATGGGAACAAGCACATCTCAACTGCTAAACCTCTGGAAATCCTGGTCTAATTGAGTTGACACAAAACACTAAACATTACATTCCACCCTTGTCAACATGGCATCTATAAACTATACACATAGTCATTAAATAAAATTTAAAAAATTAAAGCAATACTTGTGCCTAACATGATATAACTAAAACACATACAACTGAAAATGCATTGGCCTCATTTACATCTTATATGTCACCAATCAACAAAGGAAAGATATTTGATGTATGCATAAAAGTAAAACAAAAATATAGATTCATTTAAATGCCCAAAGGGCATATTCTGCAAACCAGCCTCCTGCCCATAGGCACACAGCCTTACTTAGTCCATGGACCTGGAGTCCATAACTGCTCTGTCTTTTCATGTCCCTACCTCTGCCACTGTCTCTGCTGTTGCTGCGTTTCCAGGCAGGGATCCCAAGCTCTACTCGTGCTCTTCCTTCTTGATGGTTCTGGGATCACCTGTTCCTGAAATGAAAGATAATTACTCCCTTCTTTTAGTTACATATCTTCTACAATTACAGTTTTGACCATCACAATTAATCCTACTAACAATTACCCATAATTGAAATCATAGAATCCTGATTGTATCAGCATCTACTCCCTAACCCCCTTTCACCAGACCTATCAGGAAAAGAGGAAAACTAGTGAATGGGGATACTCTCTTGTCTCCTCATTCTAAAACAAAGCACACCTTGAAAGCTTGTAAGCCAGTCACTTCATGTCTTATTAGTGCCTCATTTTTGATAACCAGTATCTAAATTGCCCAATCCTATCAACCCAAGGAGATCTTTATGGGAGCAGAAAGCCTCATCTTTCTCCCAC